GCCGACGTCGTGGATCGTCTTAGCACCACAACAGGTGTTGCGTCGCCGAGACGAGACACATCTCCAACACCTCCCTCTGCACACCCTCCTACCACGGTTTGTTTGTTGTGTTTTAGATTATCAATGTATGTATGTGTATATTCCTCGGCTTCGGGCTTCATGCCACCCCTACCGCAGTAGGGGACCTTCCACCGGTAAATAAACCCTATCGTTAAACGACACCGCAACCGAGAAGTGGTTTGTCAGGCGGTCACACCCTATCGAAGCCGGAGTGAATCTATGAAAAATGTTACGGGATAGGCTCGCGCCACAAATGATGCTAAAGGTTTTTCGTCACCCAAACCTCGGGCTAGACGGTGCTACGGTTTACACCCCGCAGCTCAGGGTGTGAGGCAATACTGATCAGGTAAGCCACCATTCCTGCGCCCGGTAATCCCACTTCAACCCCGAGATTGGCGCCAGTCAGCGGCTAAGTAAGCGGTTCTCCCACGTTTAACATGCGGGTTCACGGGATCTTTGCCGACGCACCGAGGTGCGTCGGACTTACGCTTACCCTTATGACTATCGCAGAGGTCAGGTACTAACATCACTCTCCGCCCTGGTCGGGGAACTACTACTCCCCCTTTGGCTAGTCTCTCGGGAATATCCATGAGATACCGACCGCAGCCCATTCACACACACATTCATACCAGTGTTTTGTCCGCGGGGGCTTCCGCTCTGACTTCCCAACGAAGTGGAAGCGGCCTCTCAGCCACTATCCACCCTGCCAGAGAGCTTTCCTTATCCGCAACCCGGGGACGCGCTACGTAGGGGTTCAGCTCCCCATCCGACTGGATATCCAGTGCTCGACCTCACCAAGTAGTAAGTCCGAAAACTTAAAATATTCTAATAAATAGTAATCGCGAGGGTGAACTCAATACGGATCAAGATCCCGTCCGGACGCGAGTCGTTTAAAAGGGGCGTGGGACAAAAGGCAAGCATCATTTGATCGAAACGGGCGACAGATTTTTAAATCTGAAATCCGGGACGTGACACTATCACTCGGCCTATGAATAAAGAAGAATGGTAACTGAAAATGAATGAATTGAACTCCTAACGTACAAAAAGAAACTGGATTAACTCGGAAATTGAACTAGCTGAAAAACTGAGCTAACACGAGCCCCTGAAGTCCAGGCGTAATTATACCCCAAATTCGGGACATTTGGTCTGAGGATAGGAGAAAAAATCGTACCACGTGATTATTAAGAATAACCATGGTTTGTGGTTGATTTCTTCTCATAACGTTTAAACAATAATATCCTGTCCGGAATGGTTCCTAGATGTTTAGGTTTCGCCTTATCGTAGTTCGGTGACTGACACCATCGATAGACACGGTCGGTGGTCCCATCGCTAACGTAACGCTTCAATTCGACGAAATAAAGTGTTTAGGAATCGAGTATGGGAGATTAACAATGAGACAGTATGTAAGATCACGTGTATAGAGATTGCCGAAGCATACCACCGCGTGCTAACCAGGAATTCGAACCGCTGTTGAATCCTAACCTCAACCCAGTTAATAAAGGGAAGGTTACTGTCCCGAGGAAGGCGGCCGACCGGTGGTAGCGCGACATTCCGGATTTACGCATTGAATGCATACGCCTGCGACGCCAGTACGTCCGCGCTCGATGGTGAAGACGCGTAGATTTGGATAGATTTGGATCTACCGCGAGATCGTCGTGGCCTTGCAGCTGGCCATTAAACAGGCTAAGGCCCAGGCGTGGAAGAATCTCCTCGGCTCTCTGAACAGGGACCCATGGGGGCGCCATGGGACAAGATGGTGATGGGGCGGCTTCGCCCTTTGGCGCCCCCGCTCACGGAGAGCCTAGACCCTCAATTTCTTGGGCGTGTCGTGATCGCGTTTCTTCCCCCTGGCGGGGAGGCAACCCGACCATTCCCCGGAACGGTGGGCCGTGAAGTTGAGCGGCATCCCGATGTGGCGGTCAGGGATGGGGAGATGGCCGCGGTTATCTGGTGGCTCCGAGGCAAGAATTCCGCCCCGGGACCGGATGGGATAACCGGCAGAGTCTGGGCCTTGGCCCTGAGCGTCCTGTACGGGAAAGTGCAGGCACTGTTCTCCACCTGTTTGGAGTCGGGTGTATTCCCCCGACTTTGGAAGTGTATGCGAATGGTCCCCCTCAGCAAGGATGGAAGGCCCGCGGATTCTCCCTCCGCGTACCGGCCAGTATGGCTCCTGGACGAGATGGGGAAGATGTTGGTCCCAATCTGGCTGACTGCCAATTCGGCTTCCGAGAGGGCCGGTCAACCGTTGAAGCTATTAAGCGCGTCCGGTCCCTCTCAGAGTGCAGTCACCTGGGACGGGGTGTGCATAGCGATATCATTGGATATAGTGAACGCTTTTAACATCCTGCTCTGAAAAGCCATAAGGGGGCACTAATTTACCATCAAGTGCCTCCCTATCTGAGGCAGGGGCCTATCTGAGCGACAGTTGGATAGAGTACCCGTGTTGGTACGGCTGGACCGGTCGCGGACGTCGATCGGGAAGCTGACTGGTTTCGGGAGTCATTGACGGCGGCTTGCGACGCCGCCATGCCCCGAGCCAGGAAGCTCCCGAGGCCAGCCGCTTACTGGTGGAGCGACTAGATTGCCGCGCTGCGTGCTACATGCAGCGCGGCGCGACGTCGCTTCACGAGGGTCCGCCGGAGACGGAACCACGACCCGGCGAAGGAGGCGGCGTTGTATGAGGTCTACCGAGAGGCCACGGTGGACCTCCAGCGCGCCATCAGGAGGGCCAAGGCGAGCGCTTAGGGAGAGCTCTTTGGGACTCTGGACAAGGATCCATGGGGGCGGCCCTACCGCATTGTGCTGGGCCGCATGCGCCCGGCCGCCCCTCCTGTCATGGAATTCCTCGACCCCCCGTTCTGGAGCGTGTCGTGGATACCCTTTTTCTGGTAGATCCGGAGGGTCCGCGGCCGCTCCTGCCGGAGGAGGCCAGTAACTGGTCCGCCGGCCTGGGGGTCACCGAGGGGGAGCTCGGGATGGCCGTCGGGCGAATGGTGACCAGGAATACGGCACCAGGGCCCGACGGCTGCCTAGAGACGGGGCGGGTTCCGCTGGCCTGGAAGCAGGCCCGGATGGTCCTTATCCCGAAAAAGGGAAAGCCCGTGGATTCGCTCTCCGCGTATCGGCCGATCTGCCTCCTCGACGAGGCGGGCAAGCTCTTCGAGCGTGTGCTCGCTGCCCGCTTCTCGAGGGACCTGTCCGATGGGAATATGCAGTTGTCTGGCTGCCAATACGGTTACCGCGAGGGCCGGTCGACGCTTGATGCGATCGACCACGTTCATGCTCTCGCGGGCTGGGCGGTCTCCCGGGGTGGGGTGGCGTTGGCGATTAGTCTCGACATCGCCAACGCATTTAACACCCTGCCCTGGGGCACGATCCGGGAGGCGCTCCGAGAACACGGAGTGCCTCCATATCTACGGGTCGTGTTACCCGACTACCTGTCGGACAGGTGGATCGAATACCCTGGCAGAGGCGGGGTGCCGATACGTCAGAGGGTCAGCCGAGGCGTGCTCCAGGAGTCCGTTTTAGGACCCCTGTTATGAAACTTGGGGTACGACTCGGTGTTGCGCTGACTCCTCCCACCCGGTATCTTTGTGGTCTGCTACGCAGACGACACATTGATCATCGCGGTGGGTCGGGATGGGACCAGGGTCCACAGGCTTGCGGAACTAGCGGCGGCGATCGTGGTCGCGAGGATCCAGGCTCTGGGGCTTCGGATCTCGCCGCAAAAGAAGGAGGTAGTCATGTTTTATGGGCTACCTCTGACGCGGCGGGTCCCCCAGACCTGGATCCGCGTGGGTGATGCAACTGTCCGGGTCGAAGGCCGGATGAAGTATCTGGGCCTTGACCTGGACAGCCGGTGGCGCTGGGAGGGGCATTTTGACCGCCTGATCCCCCGATTTGAGGCGGTGACGACTCTGTTGGGTCGTCTCCTGCCCAATCTCGGGGGGCCGGAAGAAGGGGTCCGCCGCCTCTACCTGGGGGTCGTGCGATCCATGGCCCTATACGGGTCACCCGTATGGGCGCGCGACCTGGTGGCTTGCCGTCATGGACGGTACCTGCTGCGCCGCGTGCAGCGGCATATGGCCATCAGGATCGCGCTCGGGTATCGCACGATCTTTCACGAGGCGGCGGCCGTCCTAGCGAGGGTCGTCCCCTTTGATTTCCAAGTGGAGGAACACGCCGACGTGTATCGGTGCCAAAGGTGGCAGCTGACCCGCGAAAAGTGGCAGCGCCAGCTCCTGGAAAGCGGCGCCGCCCGAAAGACGACGGTAGCGGCTGACCTACCGGCTCACGCAGGTGCTCACCGGACGTGGTTGTTTCGGTGAGTACCTGCACAAGGTGGGGGCGGAGGGGTCGCCCGCGTGCCACCAGTGCGGCGCGGAGCTGGACTCCGCGCAGCACTTGCTGAAGGAGCGCCCGGCCTTCTTGCGAGAGACTACTGTCTCGCGGAAGGAGGATGACGAGCGGGATCGGGAGCGCACCGATCCCGCTCGCATAGAGAGGAGGAGGTTGAGGCGGGCCAGGCGACGGCGGCTAGCTGCCGCCCCTGCCGCAGGGGGGACTGGTCCCCCCCCCCCCCCCGTAAACCCTCACCTCCTCCTGGCAGTCTGCCGCGTAGGGCGGCCCTGCACACGTAGTCGGCGAGCTCAAGCTTTTGGCTCGCCGACTGTCAGCAGGGCCGCCGAGCATGGGCGGGGGGGGGGGGGGGCCTGCCCCCCCCCCCCCTCTTTTTTGGAATATGCCCGGCGCTTGTGCCGCGGGCGGCCGTTGGCCCCATAGCGGCATATTTCCCTATGGGTCGGGGAACAGAATACGCCCATAGTAATCCCTGCTTGTCGTAAGAGGTATTGGTGGGGAGGTATTCACTCCCCACCGGAGATGGCACTCCTGCCTTCGTTGAGGGGGAGAGGCGCGGGGGGGGGACACCGGTAGCGTAGGTACGAGATCCCGGTGCCCCTCCCCAACGCGCCGAGCCGGCCACCGTGAGGTTTTAGTATTTCCTTTGATGTCAAATCAAGGGGCGAGTCCCACACTACCCCCTCCATATGAGGGGGTGTGCGTAAATGCATTTCCTCACGTAAAAACGAAAAAAAAAACGGTATCGAATGGTGGGAGGTGCACCGTGGGGTCCCACAGAGCTCGGTTTGAGGCACGTTGTTGTGGGACCTCGGCTACGATGCGGTCCTGCGGGCCTCGCTTCCCGACGGCGCCAGACTTGTCTGCTTTGCAGACGTCACGTTAGTGGTCGCCGTCGGGAGCACTTTTGAGGGGACCATCAGCCGTGCAGAGATGGTGGTCGCAAGGATCCTCGGGCTATGCCCTCGTGTGACCCCTGAAAAGACCGAGGCTATATGGTTTCATGGCGGGCCTCGGACGCGATGCCCAGCTGGCGCATTATACAACTCCTGCGCCGGCTGGAGAGGCGAATGGCCATAAGGGTTATCCGCGGGTACCGCACCATCTCCTACGTGGCGGCGCAGGCTCTGGCGGGTGAAATACCCTTCGAACTGCAGGCGGCTACACACGTGTTAGTCTATGCGTGCGTGCAGGCTACCCGCCTCGTTCGGAGGACTCCGCCTGAGCCAGAGTCGGAGACGGTCGAGGAATTCGAACGCCAGGCCTGGCGACTGGCGCTCGCGAATTGGCGACTGGAACTAAGCTCCCACGCCGGCGAGCGCGTCGCCGGGGCCCTCCTGCCGCACCTCAAAAAGTGGCGGGAGAGGCGGCAAGGAAGGCTCACCTACCCGGCGACGCAGGTATTCACCGGACATGGCTGCTTCGGTGTCTACCTGTGTCGCATAGGGAAGGAAGTGGCGGCAGCCCGCCACCACTCGCCAGTGGCGAGGAGGAGGACTCGGCGCAGCACAGCTGGAGGAATGCCCCGCCCTTTCAGCGCAGCGTCGAGTCCTACGGGCCCAAATCGGGCATCACCTCTCGTTCCCAGCAGTAGTTGGAGCCATCCTGGAGAGCGAGACGAACTGGAGGGCGGTGGTCTCCTTCTGCGAAGAGGTTATCTCGCAGGCCGCAGAGCGGGATCGGGAGTTCACCGATCTCGCTCGATGGAACCGGGGGAGGCGGCGACCTGGTTAAGGTCGTGTCGTCGGGCCCCCGGACTAATGATGTTAGCTGGCGCCGGGGACGGTTGTAGACAACCTCTGCCGCCAGGTGATCACCGAGGATGAATGGTGACAGGATAAGGGGGACGGCAAGCTCAATGCCGATACCCCTGACAGTCGCGCTACCCGGAACGGGGACCCTGGGTATGCTAGAAATGCGGTCGCCGAGATGTAGCGTTGCGGGGCGCGGCCTCCCTGCACCGCAGATTAGCGGGTTAACCTGCTCGGAGTGGGTTATTAGTAGAAGACATCCTAGACATTCAGACAAGTCAAACATATGTGAACTTACAGGCAATATTCAAATCAAATGAAATTAGATTGTTTAAAATGTACGAGTATATAATTAATGTAGGACACACACGTTCCAAGGCAAGACTGACGAATGTTTTTCATTCGCTCGGTAGTCACAGTTGTTAGTGTTGGAATTCCCACAAAACTGATAACATGTCCGGCCAAAATAGGGATTCCTGCAAGTGACTATTTATGCCAATACATGTACTATTCGTCCGCAAGAAAAGGGCTAGACAAATGTTTACGTCCCCGTTCTGCTACAGAGGTACAGTAAACGAGAAGTAAATACGAGTAGTAAATACGAGTAAATGTAAGCACTTGCATGACCTTCTTCTCGCGGATGGACAGTAGAGTAGAAAACAGACAATATTGAAATTAAATCATTTTTTGGAAAAAAATTTAACCGACTTCGAAAAAGTTGCAGTGAAAAGTATGAAATAATTTGTAGTTAATTTATATGAATACGCACTAGCTCTAGATATAATTGCTTAAAAGTATGGG